CACTGGATGACCAAAAGATCCAATTCCCGTGCATGTTTCGGTTTCGTGCGTGTTTTTTTTGCTAGATGGTCCAGGATGGTCCTCGATGGTCCTCGCCGAGAAAAAATGCACACGTCCGAGCCATGCCAAGCAACTGTCCTGACGGGCCCCTCTCCCCCAAGAAAGTAGCCCCAAAAACACCGACACCGTCGCTTAGCACCCGTGTTCCGGAATCGTTCTTCCGGCGGGGGGCGAAAAAGGAAGCTAACGAGGAGGAACAGAAGGAATGGAAACCATGGGTTCGGGAGAAAGGAACAACATATTCTTCAATGGGGGCGTGGAACAACCCAGGAATTAGGAGGCAACTACTGCGAGGTTTTCGTCGGCAGGATTAAGGAGGATTCAGCCCCATTTGGTAGCTGTTACGCCGGAAAGGGCCTCGGATCAAGCGGGATTAAAAGCCCGATTAAGCGGGATTACGCGGGATTAAGCCGGATCAGAATTTGACCTCCCAAGAGTTGCATCCGAACAGGAAGATTCCTGACGGGCTCCTGGGAAATTTGTCGGGTGTCAGAGGTTTGCTTGAGGGTCTTCAGAATTCTGAGAAATTTATGAAGATCCCTGGGGGCTCCAACTGATTCCCGAAGGTTTCAACTGATTCCGACTGTGTTGTTTTCAGAGGGGGGCGGAGGAGGAATGAATGCAGACAAAGGGCAACACAAGGAATGGAGAAAGGAGGGGCCAAGTTTGGGGGAGAACAAACAACTGCAGGGGTTCCCGCGCCCGCGTACGCGCGCGCGCGAGCAATGATGAACCGTATTGTGTCAACATGAAGTATTTGCATCTTGTAGCCCTCAGAATACGAGTGGAACAGTGTGTCCACTATTCAGATTTCGAGGTTCAGACGTTCATTCTGTATTGGCTTCTGGTTTGCGAACACGACAGCGCGCGCACGCGAGTGTCCGCGCGCGGGCAATGGGGAATCTGCACTGCGTCATAATACAGAACTCCACGTTGAGGCCACAGAGTACGAGCAAAATAATGTGTGTTCAACCTTGGGTTTTCGAAATTATCATGCTCATTCGTTGTTGGTGTTTGTATTGCGCGCTCGGGCGCTGAGGAACGCGTATTGCTTCACAGTCGATTGCGCCACGGTGCATCCTCAGATGACCAATCGAACAAGTTGTTTATACCATGTAATTGTCTAAATTTACATAATCATGCTTGATTGGCTTTCGCACTGCGCACGCGAGAACGCGTGCAAGCGCGCGTACGCGCGCGCGGGCAGTGCGGAACACGCACAGTGTCACAATCCAAAATTTCCACGTTGTCCACCTGCGAATTCAGAATTCAAATGGTAGTTATGTATTGGTTTGTGCATAGCGTACACGGGGGAAAGCACGCGCGCGTACGCGCGAGCACAGACAATCAGGACAGCGCACGGTATCACAATGCACTATTCCATGCAGGGGCCTTCAGAAGACGAGCGAATCGATTTGTGCTCAGCATTCGCTGTGCGATGTTCAGGTGGCAAATCCGCATTGAATTATATACTGCGCACGCGAGAGCGCGCGCCCGGTGCGCACGAACAATAAGGACAACGCATGGTGTCACAATAAACATTTTCACAATGAGGCAATGATAATTCTGAACAAAAACAACCTTCATCCGTGAAGCTCTGGCCAACCTTAAAAACGAATGGGCGCGGCACCCAAGCGAAAATCAAATTATCAAAAATACTCGCCCCCCCCATCCGTGAAATGCCTGCAAGCCTGTTATACGAATGTGCGCGGCGCAAAAGGCGAGAAACACATTTTGCGAAAGGCCAAACCTCCAATCGTGAAACTCTGGCCAACCTTCAAAACGACTGTGCGCGGCGCCATGGCGATAACCGCATTTTGAAAAGACCCCGCCCTCCATCCGTGAACCTCTTGCAAACCATCCGCGGATCGATTGCCAGCTTTTACATCGAATGCGCGCGGCGCTGAGGCGAGAACCGCACTCTGCAGTAAACCACACACGATCAGTGAAGCTCTCGCAAATGTTTAGAGCGAGTGTGCGCAGCGCCACGGCGAGAATCACATTTGGAAGAGGAGCCGCCCTCAGTGCGCGAAGCTTTCCGGATCTTCGGCACGAATGTGCGCAACGCTCACACGAAGACCACACTTTGCAAAAGACCCACCCTCGATTCGTTGACCTGCTGCAGACTCTTGGAAGAAAAATGCGCAACAATCAAGCGACAAACAACAATAAGAAAAAAACTTAATGAAACAACATTTTTTTGGTAAAGGAACAAATAAATAAAAGAAAGAACCTAGCAAAAGAGACAAATTACTCAAAGAAAAAAAAAATTAATATATAATAAAATCAAAAAAACAATCTATCAAAAATTTAATGAGAGAAAAAAATATCAATATAAAAGAAATTATAAGATAAAAAAATTATAAAAATTATAAAATGTAACCAATAATGAATTAAGTCAAATATTATATGTAAGAAAATATAAAAAGAAAAAAAAAAATAATGTAACATCAAATATTAAGAAAAGCGACAAACACATTTTGCAAAGGGCCGACCTCAATCCGCGAAACTCTGGCCAACTCATAAAATGACTTCCTACCAGAGCACCCCAACCCAACCCGAAGACAAGAATTTCGGGTTTGGGGGGGGGTAAGGGTTCCACATGTGTTTTTGCCGATGTTTCCCGACCCCCCCCCCCACTGGAGATCGAGGGTAAGTCTGAGCCTTCGGGTTGGGTTGGGGTGGTTTGGTGGGTGGTGATAGAACGAATGTGACCCGAGGTGAAGCCAACAACACAGTTTGAAAAGGGCCCGCCCTCCAGCCGCGAAGCTCCTGCAAACTTTAAAAAACGTATGCGCACGGCGCTTTGGCGAGAAGCACACTGTGAAAAGGACCTGTTCTCCGTCAGTGAAACCCCTGTTTCTTCCCCAACGCAACACCGCAAAAACACAAACTCAAAAACAAAAATAGAAAACACAAAAAAAAAATAACAAAAAAACAAAAAAAAAACAAAAAAACATAACAAAAAACAAAACAAGAAAAAAACAAAAAAAAGCACACAAATAAACAAAAAAACACCGCAGGGCTGCGCAACGGCGTGAACCGGAGCAACGAAAGAAAGCCGTTAACCCGCACGTAACCCGGGTGCGGAGTGTTCCAATGGGACTTGAAGCAACAACAAAAAAGAAGCACGACGTGCGCCGAGAAGCTCTTGTGAAATGTGAAGCCGAAAGCGTTCGGCGCCGAGGCACGAGAATTATGATCGAGAGGACCCAACCCCCAACGAATGCACCCAGACGCTGAACGTGAGGTCTAGATTTTTGGAATGGGCCCCAGCCTCCATCCGTGAGGCTCTCTCACGCGCTGAAGGAAGACTGGGCGTGGTGGTAAAAGGCGATGACCACATTGTGTCAAAGAGCCGGTCCTCCATCCGTGAACGTCTTGCAAGCATTCAAAAAGAATGTGCGCGGCGCTGGAACCAGAGGCCTCCTAGATGGGGTCGGAGTAGATGTGGTCGGAGGATCGCGCCGCATCGCCGAAGCATCGGCGATGCATCGGCGATGCACCGGCAACGTCGACGATGCACTGGCGACGTCGGCGTGGAGAAACTCGGGCTCCACGTCGAGCCGCATCGCCGCTGCATCGGCGATGCGGCGCGGTCCCCCGACCCCATCTGCTCGGACCCCATCTAGGAAGCCTAGAGAAACGAGAACCGCATTTTGGAAAGGGCTCGCCATCCATCCGTGAAACTCTGTCACACCTTTGAAACGAATGTTCGCGGCGCCGGGGCAAGAACCGCACTTTGAAATAAAAAAGCCCTCCGTCCGTGAAGCCCTTGCAATTACTCGACAAAAATATGCGCGGCACCCGGGCGATGGCCACAAGATGGAAAGGACCTGCCCTCCTTCCGAGAAACTCTTTCGTCTTTCAAACATTTGAAGCCAATGCGCGCGATGTAAAGACGATCGCCACACTCAAAAAAAACACGCCCTCGATCCGTTAAGCTGTTACACACGTGTACAATGAGCGGGCGAGGCGCAAATGCGAGAAACAGATGTTGCCAAGAACCAACACTCCATCCGTGAACCTCTGGCCAACCTTCAAAACGAATGTGCGCGGCGCCATGACGATAACCACATTTGGTAAGAACTCGCCCTCCATCCACGACGTCTTTGCAAACTCTATGCAAACGAGCGCGGCGCTCAGAAAAGGTCTGGTCATCCATCCGTGAAGCTCTTGCAAATTTGGAGAAACGCGCGCGACGCTAATCGCTAATACGAGAACCACATTGAAAACAAAGCCTGCCCTCAAACCGCGAAGCCCGTCTCAACTTTTGAAGCGTATGTGCGCGACGCTACGGCGATAGCTACATTCTGAAAAGGACCCGACCGCCACCAGGGAGGCTCTTGTAATCTGTTAAGACGAATGTGCGCGCATCGGAGGCGAGAGCCACATTTCAAATTATTGGGCTGTGGATCCTTGCCACCTCCAGGGACGGCAAGGGATAAGTTTTCGCCGGAGGAAAAAGGGGTCGACATGCTGCACACTTTTACATCCAGCGTCTCAATTACGAAATTTCGGGACGCGAGGCCTCGAACTCTCGACCACTTCCCCGGGACCGGTTTTCATCCCGAGAGGTTTTGCTTGACGGACCCGAGGCCCAATAAGGACTCCGAGAGGCAGAAAATTATGAAAAACTGCCGTCACGATTTTTTCGAAACGCCGGATGGCTTGGAAACCTGCGCGGAGCTTCGCATGTTCACGCTTTCCTCCGGGCTCCTGCAGGGTGCGCCCATTCGCCACACGAGGCGCCGGAGGCGCTGCCACGGGGGGGGGGGAGTTCCAGCGCCGAACTGAGAGATTCGTACGGAACTCCGAACGCTTACGTTTGCGCCGCTTTGGAAGACCCCGCTGGCGGCGCCCCTGGCGCTGGCGTCCAGCGCCGATCGAGGAAGCCCGCGCGAGTCTCCCCAGAAGTGGTGCTTCTGCTCCCCCCTCGAGCTCCCAGAGGGCGCGCCCACTCGCCCCAGGAGGCCAGCACGCGCTCCGCGCCGCGGCGCCCCTCCTCGGCGGTTCAAAAGATGGGGTCCTGAGGGATGGGGCCATGAGGATACAGTCGGAGCGCTGACATAAGGAAACCTAAATAAGGAACGAGGCCCCTTTTCTCCAAAGTTGAACTTCGATTGCCCTTCGAAAACCTAAGTGGAACGTGGGGCAAACTGTGAAACAGTGAAGGAACACGGAGCCCCTACCCAACGAAAAGGGTTCCTTCTTCAGGGCCCCGACTGTAGGTTATGTTGCATCCTCGGGGGACCTTGCCTGTCCCGTCGCGACCCTATGCGCGTCGAATATGTGTCGAATTCACGTCGGCCTCGTCGGGCCCCGTGTCGAATCCGTGTCGAATTCGCGTTGAATCCACGCCAAATTCGCGTCGAATCCGCATCGAGCCCACGTCAGTCACAAGAGAAGACACCAATTTGGGGGACAGGCGAGGTCCCGCGAAGATGCAACATAAGATAGGAAAGGACCCAAGGGTGACATTACGTTGCTTGAGGCACCTTATGGGGAATCCGGGACGCCCGATACCGCTACTCCCCGGACCTCTCCCGGGATGTGCTCTGACCAGAATGTCGAAGCTCGAGGCGACTCCAGCGGTGGCGACGACGGCCTCCCAGGAAGGCCAAAGAAGGGGAATCGAGAGAAGGGTGGCGGTGTCGGTACCTGCTCCTCCTCCCTCTCCTCCACCTACAGCCTTTGAACCAGCTCAAGACCCCATCATCCTGCACTGGATGCCTGCTGGTTCCTACTGCTGGGCTTCTGCTCAAGAGGAGGTGCCAAGAACAGCCCAGATCCACTCCACGGCGGGGGGGGAGGGACGGGGGGGGGGAGGGGGGCCCGCGCCCAGCGGCAAACCAAGGAATGAGCAGACGATCGTAAACCTCCCATCCCTCAAGACCCCATCTTTGAACCACGGACCTCTGGCCGCCGCGCCGGTGCCTCGCCGCCGGGCGGGGCAGCGCCGCGCGAGGCTGGCTCCTCGCTCGCGGCAGCGCCCGCGGGGCGCAGGTGCAGCTCCAGCCCGCCCTCGGGAGGAGGAGGAGGGGAAGGGGGAGCAGGAGGAGGAGGATGAGGTGGTGAGGAGGGGAGAGAGAGGAGGAAGGAGAGGAGGAGGGGGAAGGAGGAGAGGAGGCATTAGAGGAGGAGGGGGGAGGAAGGAGGAGATGGAGAGGAGAAGGAGGAGGAGGAGGAGGAGCGCGGGCGAGGTTCGCACGGCAGGCTCGCGTAGTGCCGACTTCGGCGCGGGCTCTTGACTCTGCGGGGCTCGTTCAGCCTTGACCGATCGGCCGTTGCCAACACTTCTTTCCCCATCCAGCGAAGCCCAGCGGCAAAAGGATTGCATACACGCTTCTCAATGTTGTGCGTGTCATCCTTGCGCAGGGGCTGTGCTCATCTTCTCTGCATCGTTCCAATTTTAACGGATGATCCCATCCAAGGGAGGAGACGACCACTAATCGGGATAGGCTGTTGCCGACACGACAGATCGTTCAACATCGACCAGCTCTGCGTCACCAGCGCCGTTCAACGATGAGTGCCGTCGGCGGGGTCGCCGCTTGTCGATACGACGCGAACCTACCTTGCCATGTCTTGGGTGGGAATCCATGGGGGCCTCCCATTAGAAGAAGACCAAAACCTGCATCAACATAGATTGTCGGACCTCCGCGCGGATTTCTTGGATCTGCGCTGGTGCCCCTGGCGGCGCCTGTGGCGCCGCCCCTGGCGCGCTCCACGCGCCAGAGGTAGTCCAGCGCAGATCCAAGAAATCCGCGCGGAGCCCCCAAAGTTAATGTTTGTGCAGCGGATCCTTAGACCCATGCCACCTTGCTGGCCATTGCAAATCGACGCCAATCGGCGCCAGATCGACGTTCACAGACGCTACATCGCGCTAATCTGCGCTAAATCGGCGAGTTCCCGTCGATGACCAGACGCGAACACTCGAAAAAAATGTGAAGGCCTTGCACAAATCTCATGATTTGCTACCGAACATGTCCACGGCGTCTTGTCCGCTTTGCGTTGCAACGAAAACACGGAGCATCGATCTTCGGAAAGCACGCCATCCCAGAGAGGCAGTCCCCCCGCGAGGGCCCCTTCTGCGAACGCAATCCCCTTGTGAGGGCCTCGTCGGTGCACGCTATGGTGATACATGAAATAAGCGGGCCAGCAACGACACACTGGATTTTATTTTTGCAACGCCACCCGCCTTTGCTTGGAAGGGACATCAAAAACCCAGGGAGCAATGGAAATGGATAACATCTGGCCTCTCTGGAGGCCAAGCTAGAGGCCTCCTTGATGGGGTCCAAGTAGATGGGCGTCGGAGGATCGCGCCGCATCGCCAATGCATCGGCGATGCATCGTCGACGTCGGCGACGCATCGACGACGCCTGCGCGGAGAAAATTGAGCTCCGCATCGAGCCGCATCGTCGATGCATCGGCGATGCGGCGCGATCCTCCGACCACATCTACTCCGACCCAAATCTAGGCCTAGACAAGCTTTATCCATATCCGCCACGTCTGCCTGTCCGGGGAAGGGAGTCCGACCCTCCGAGACGCCGTGGACATGGATGAACATCCCGCCCACGCCTCGGGGCCCTCGCGCCACAGCACCGCGGCCGCGGCCGTGAGCTGCCTCTCGATGACGAACAACACTTGAAGTCGGGCCTGCCCCTCTACAGGAGGAATCCTCCCCACAGAATTGTCTGGGGACCATCGGTTTGGGCATAGTGTTGAGTTTGGGATGATTTTGGATCACTCTGCTCGTCCACATTCCGCTCGGGGATGGACAGACCTCCCTTTAGTAAAACGTGGTTTAGTGAAAACGACCTCGGGCCCAAACCTGGCGGGCGCAAGCCTGGAAGGCCGCGGCGCCCTCTCGAGAACCGAAAACGGACAATTCACTAATCGACGTGTCAGGGTAGGAGGTCTGTCCACCCCCGATCCGCCTGTAAGGGGACACGCCCGACCTCAGCAACACTCCGTAAACATGAGCTGTCGAAGCTCCGCGCGGGTTTGTGTTCTGCCTCAGCGCTGGCCCCCCCCCGCCCCTGGCGCGCGGAGCGCGGCAGGGGCGCCGCTGGAGGCGCTGTCGAGGGGGTCCCCAGCGCCCACCCGAGAAGTCCGCGCGGAGCTCCCAATGTGTGAGCCAAAGGGGATCGGCAAGATCCGGGTCGGGCGAAAGGGGTGGGATAGCAAAGGGGGGTTCGAGAATCAGCTCACGTAGCTGATTTTCCTGGCACCTCCCGGCGCCAGGAGGCGGCCATGTATCGAGGAATGGGCCCCTCGGTGGGGCCAAAACCAGCTGCATGCAGCAGATTTCGTAACCCCCCCTTTCCCTATCCCCCCCTTTCGTTCGGCCCGAAAGAGCCACGACACCTGCGCGGACATCCGAACAGTCTCAGGGTTCTGGAGATCTCTTTGAGCCTGGCCGAGAGATCCGATGCCTGGATGTGTTCAAGGCGGGACGCCTGGCATCAATTTTTCGCCTCGCACAGTTGTGTCACGGTTCCGGGGGCCCGGCGAAGCCCCCCACGATGGTGAAAACTCAATGGAAACTGCAGCAAAAACGCCGTCTCGAATGCAACCCGCGCGTCCGCCTCCTTCTCCATCTCCTCCTCCTCTCGGGGGCGGCAAAAGAGGGGGGTGTCCAAGAGGGGGGGGTGCAAATCATGACCGGCGGCATGTGCGCGGCCCCGCGGGGCGGCCAGGGACGTAATGAAATAAGATGAGGCGCCATGAAATCTTGGGAAATATCATGGCCCCCGCCATGACATCCACCCCTCCTAGTCATCACCCCCCTCTTTTCCGTCCCCGATCCTCCTCCTCCTCCTCCTCCTCCTCCTCCTCCTCCTCCTCCTCCTCCCCCTCCTCCTCCCCCTCGAGCTCCAGAAATTTGATTATATGTATGCAGCTGCTTCTCCTGCGAGCCTTGGGCCAGCGGCGCCGCTGCTTGCCTGGGCGCCAGGCGCCTGGGCGCTCGACAGCCAGCGCAGCGTGGCAACGACGTTGTCGGGCGCGCCGGCCGAGCCCTGACATCCACCGACTGACATCCACCGAGAGTTGGGGGGTCGCAGAGACGCGCGGTGACAGACCGCGCGGTGCCCCCGAAGCTCGGGCCGGGCGAAAGGGGTGGGATAGCGAAGAGGGGTTTGAGAATCAGCTCACGTAACTGATTTTCCCGGCGCCGCCCATGTATCGAGGACTGGGCCCGGCGGCGGGGCCGAAACCAGCTGTCATCACCCCCCTCTTTTCCGTCCCCGATCCTCCTCCTCCTCCTCCTCCTCCTCCTCCTCCTCCTCCTCCTCCTCCCCCTCCTCCTCCCCCTCGAGCTCCAGAAATTTGATTATATGTATGCAGCTGCTTCTCCTGCGAGCCTTGGGCCAGCGGCGCCGCTGCTTGCCTGGGCGCCAGGCGCCTGGGCGCTCGACAGCCAGCGCAGCGTGGCAACGACGTTGTCGGGCGCGCCGGCCGAGCCCTGACATCCACCGACTGACATCCACCGAGAGTTGGGGGGTCGCAGAGACGCGCGGTGACAGACCGCGCGGTGCCCCCGAAGCTCGGGCCGGGCGAAAGGGGTGGGATAGCGAAGAGGGGTTTGAGAATCAGCTCACGTAACTGATTTTCCCGGCGCCGCCCATGTATCGAGGACTGGGCCCGGCGGCGGGGCCGAAACCAGCTGCATGCAGCAGATTTCGTAACCCCCCCTTTCCCTATCCCCCCCTTTCGTTCGGCCCAAGAAAGACCTCACCGCGGGGACCGTCACCGCACGGCTGGGGGACCCTGGAACCCCCCGAATTGTCTGAGACGCTCTCGGGGAACGACCGAAATCCCCCCAAACCGTGAGGCGATCTCGCATCCCTACCGGCTCACCACACGGTGTGGCCACCGCGCCATTCGGGGGCCTTCGAGGCATGATTTCCTAAACCCGCGGCCCGGGAGTTCCCACCGACTTCCCCAGGGGGTAGCGCGTGCAAAAGGGGGGCGTACAAGATGGGGCTTCGCAAACGATGGCCAGAGGCAACTGTGCGGCTAGGGGGGGGGACCAGGGGGCGTACTGGGATAAGAAGGGGGGGCCCTGAAATCGGGCCATGAAATGACTCGGGCCATGATATCCACACCCCGAGCCCTCACCCCAAGATCGGTGTCGATGGCCCTCCGCGGGGCCCCAAACCTTGCGATCCGACGTCGCGAAGAACTACAACAGCGTTAAAAATCACGGGTGGAACCAGATTTTGACGGGTGGAACCAGACTTCCAACCCCGCTAAATATCGCGAACACTTAGACACCATCGTGCTTAGCCAGATCGATCCGTGATGGGAACGAGGTCCCAGGCAATCGCCAGGTGCGGAAAAACTGCAACGCCCGAATTTTTGGGAGGGCTGGAATCCTAGGAAAAACTCTGGAGTCCCGAAACGGTGCGGTGACCTCGAAATCCCCCAAGACCTCACCGCACGGTCCGTCACCGCACGGTCCGGCCCCAATCGCCCGAAACTTCCTCGGAGAACGACCCGAGCCCCAAAACCGTGCGGTGACCCCGAATCCCCACCAACTCACCGCACGGTGTGGTCACCGCCCCGTCTGGGGGCCCCCGAAAAACGTCCTGCTCAACAGCCTCGTGGCGCGGGGGGCCCGGGAACGCGCCTCGCCCGCGGCCCGCCCCGCGCCGCCGGCCGCACCTGCGGGGAGGGACCGACAGATAGATACCATGGCCGCTGCTCACCAGATCTCTGCCAGGGTGCCAACGACAGCAGCAGAGACAGCAAGAACAACGACAGCGGCAGCAACAACAACAACAACAACAACAACAACAACAACAATCATTTAAGACTGGGGACACTCCGTTCTCACCAGTGCCAGGGTTTTCATAGGAGGCGGGCAATACCCCCACTTTGTGGGGGGGCCGGTTCAAGCTCTACCAAATTTCCAAACGACTCTTCGCCACCACCCACACCCAGCTTCCCGCCCTATGACGTTCGGACACTTCACTTCGTGGCATGCGGACGACCGTGGCTACTATTCAGGGCCCCGCGGCCGACGACGACGGCGTGCGCGCGCGAAGAAAATACGAATGTGTCCCGCATGGTATTATTTGACAGGGATGATGGCCCTGGCAGGTGCGCAACCGTTGTTGCAGAAGTTCGAAAAAGTTGCTCGCAAAAGCCCGTGTGACAGAAATGTTTAAAAAGTGTTGGGTTTCCTACGAATCCGCAAGAGCGCGCGGGATGAAATTTGGACATTTTTTTTTGAAAAACCATTGGTTTTTTGATGTTTTTATGTTAAAATCGCTACGAAACTAAGGTTTTGGAAGGATTTCGTCTTGCGCGCGCGAATGTCCACTTTACCTTATTTTTTGCAAGGGATTCTTGAAATTTGATTATGTTAGAACAAGAAATGTCATTTTATAGTGTTTTTTGCAAGGGAAAACGGATTACAACAAAACAACCGGATCTGGATCACATCGTTTTACCTGAGACTTCCTCACGAAAATGATGAAAATGTGGCTGCGGCCTAGGCGCGGGGGGGGGGGCGTGCACCAGGGGGCCCAACAATAATTATTCTTTAGAATTAATAATGTTCAACAACAACAACAACAGCAACAACAGCAACAGCAACAGCAACAGCAACAACAACAACAACAACAACAACAACAACAACAACGAAAGTCCGACCAGACGCCCGGAAACGTCACGCCCCACTCGTGGGGACAGCGAGACTGTAAAACAGGCCTGCCATGACACGAACAGCTGGCGGCGAAAGAACAGCGCTGGATATAGTATTGACAGGTGCCCGATGACCAGAATTTCGAGAACTGAATCCAGCCGCCGCAGCAGCATCGGCCAAAGGGCTGCGACTGCTTCCCAGACCAGGATTTCTTCATCCTGAGTCGCTGCTTGACGGTCCTGCGGTCGGGAAACAGCATCGAAAGGCAACACAACTACAACCTAAAACCGCCGTCGCGTTATGTTCGCGTCGCCGGGTTCTGAGGGATGGGGCGGGCTGCGGCATCGGTATTCGGGGATGGACAGACCCCCCTTTAGTAAAACGTGGTGTAAAGAAAACGACCTGAGGCCCAAACCTGGCGGGCGCAAGCCTGGAAAATAACGGCCACGGCGCCATCTCGAGAACCGAAAACGGACAATTCACTAATCGACGTGTCACTGTTGGGGATTCTGTCCACCCCCGAGGTATGAGGGAGTCTGCCGCTGGACTCTGGCGAGCTTACTTGCACGGGCGGGGGGGCGTGGCGCGGCCCGACAGGAATTCTGGACGCCACCACGCAAAGCAGGTCTGCCTGCACGCCTCGGCGCTGTTCGGAACGGCGGCGGGGGGAGGGCGAGGGGGGCAGCTGCCATGCGAGGGAACCTGTCAGCATCTGGCAACTTGGTTGACCGAATCTGAAACCTATTCGAAGCCGAGATCCACATGCATGCTGAAGTCGGGCCTGTCCCTCTACACGGGGTATGTTCAAACATACTTTGAAACAATACACAATATGTTTGGCTACTTTTTGGTACTCTTTGAGTATTGTTGTTCTTCCCTCACACATCCGCCTCTAGGGAGACATGCCCAACCAAAAATTATGCATTTCATTCCCTGTCAAGTCCTGCTCTGAGTGCCTGGCTGTGAGTGTCTGGGTGTGCGGGAGCGAGTCCGGGTGGACGACGAGTACGACGAGGACGACGCTGGCGGCCACGATGAAGGACAGCCTCGACGGCATCTCCAGGCATGCGGTGAGCAGGCCCCCACCTCTCCGCTTCCTCTCACTACTCGTCGCCCCCGTCCATTCCATCACTCCCGCATCCCTCCTCCTTCTTCCTGCGTCCTGCGTCCTGCGTCATGCTCCTCCTCCTCCTCACTCCTTCGGCTTTGCAGCCGTCCTTCTCCCTACATCGAAGTGGTCATGAATGGACCGGAGTCGGAGTTGCAAAACCGAGCGCCTCGCTCGGCACATCCTCACAATCTGACCGCATGGGGTGCTGAAGCCAGCGCCTCGATCGAGACATCCTCGAAGCTACAGGGGCATAACAGGCAAACCGCCAGAGACATCCCCGCAATTAACGTACTAACGGGCGAGTGCATCTCCCTGGCGGCCACTCGCGTTGCTGAAACCAGCACCTCGCTCAAGGAATGCTCACAACCTGCTAGGGACGCACCCACGTCCAAGCAACCACACAGACAAACCACCTGAGGATTCCCACGAACTGGGCGCGACATGGCCACACCTGGCGGATCGTCCAAGCGCTGCTCAATGACACGCTTGCTGCATCGCGATGAGCCTGACTGGGGCTCTGCCAACCATCAATCCAAGCCACCAGACAGACAGACCGCCTGAGACATCACAGCAATCTTGGCGCGAAAAAGAAACTGCCCCCAACCCCAGCGGCTACTCTTGGGGTGCTCAACTGCCACGCCTGCTACATCGCGATGTTCATGGGGCTCTGAGAAGAGAGAAGTGCAAACCAGCAAACACGCAAGCCGCCTAAGACATCACACCACCGAGCGCGAACGGGCAAATCTGACCACCCCATTGCGGCCCCCCATTGCGGTGCTCAAACGCCACGCCTGCTGCATTGCGATGAACATGGGGCTCTCACTGCATGAGTGATGTGTATGGGTCTGAATATGACTTGGCTGAGTATGACTGGACCTGGCTGAGAGCGGTGTGAGTATGAGCGAGTCTGGGTATGTGCGAGTCTGGACATGAATGGGCCTGATTGAGAGCGAGTCCGAAAACCAGTGGATCTAAGTGTGAGCGACTCTGGGCATGAGTGTGTCCGAGCGCCGGTGGGTCTGCGCGTGGGTGCATCCGGGTGCGAGTGAGGCGGAGCGCGAGCATGCCCGAGTAGGAGTGGCTTGGGAAGAAGCAGGCGGGGGCCTGGCATCGCTCGGACGTCCATTCCCTGTGCTTTTTTTCGGTGTCGTGCGTGGTTTCTTCGCCAAATGATCAAATCAAGGATGCTCCTCGAAAATCCTCGCCGAGGGAAAAAAAAAACACGTCCGAGCGATGCCAGGGGGGGGGGAAGGGAGGGCGGGGTGCGGAGGCAGCACGTTCATGACAGGGACCCCCGAGGAGGTCAATGCCAAGAGCCCGTGCGCCGACGGCGGGCCCAGGAGGGGCGCAGGCGGCGGCTTCTTTGGCAGCGCGCTACAGATGCGCGCGCGCCAGGATCCGAGGAAACCGCACGCGCGTCTATGAAGACGGGGGGGGCTCAGTCACATGGCGCCTTCACTGAGGGCCCCATACTGAGGGCACCTCGACGCGAACCCCGCCGAGGCGGCGAGGGACCCCAAGCTCCGGCGCCACGATCCCAGGAAGCAGCACGTGCGACTCTAAAGACGGGGGGACTCAGTCACGTGGCGCGCTCATTGAGGACCCCATGCTGGGGGCACCTCGACGCGCACCCCGCCGAGGCGACGAGGGACCCCACGCTCGGGCGTCTCGCCCCGGCGTCGCCCTGTTGTGACGGCCCCAGGAGGCGGTGGCCCCGGGAGACCGACAAAAACGACAGGAGCACCCCGTCCTGGGGTGGAACACCACACGTGTTTGATTGCAAGGGGCGGCAATACAGTCCAAACTGAGAGTCAGGATGCGCGATAGGGATAGCGCCTTGCATGCCAGTGTCGAAGCTTTTCGAGCGGGGCTCTCAGTGTGGCTCGGGACGGACATCGAGAATAGTTCGGGACGGACGACGAATCAAGGATGCAAGAGTAACCCTCGGGAAGGTGCCCTACCCTTCCTATCGGTTTCGGTTGCGTCGGTGACGCTCCCTCTGGAAGGTCCCAAAACAGTGCGGTGGCATACCAGCCTCGGACTCCCTAAAGTCGGGGCCCGGCAAAGGGGGGGGACCCAGAAGGGTTGGGGGTGAGTTCGATCCGCTGGTGCATCGAATATCCGGAAAAACGATTCGGCGGTGGACAAACATCCCTTTAGTAAACCTCCCTTTAGTGAATGCGGCCTAGGACCAAAAACCGACGGACCTGGACCCGCAAAAATGACGGCCGCGACGCCCTCTTGCGAACCGAAAACAGCCAATTCCTTAATCGACGTGTCAGGGTAGGAGGTCTGTCCACCCCCGAGTGAGTTCGATCCGCTGGTGCATCGAATCTCCGAAAACCGATGCCCCCCGCGCGCCCCGATTGTCGACGCCTCTCGGGTTCCCACGGCGGCCGGAGACCTCGTTCGGCATCGCTTTTTTTTGCGGCTCGGTGCGTCAGCGGGCCGAACTCTCCCCCCCCCTCTGCACTACCTACCAGACCACCCCAACCCAACCCGAAGACCTGAAATTCGGGTTGGGGGGGTACGGGTCCCATGTGTGTTTTCTCCATGTTCCCCGACCCCCCCATTGGAAATGGGGGTCAAATCGAGGCCTTCGGGCTGGGTTGGGGTGGTTTGATGGGTGGTGACCTCTGCCCCCCCCCCCTTTGCGAGGTCCCTAGGGGAAAAAAACGTAACAGAAACATGAAAACTCGGAGGTCCGCGCGGATTTCTCGGATCGGCGCTGGACCCCCCTCCCTGGGGGCGGCGCCGGAGGCACCGCCAGGGGGGTGCAGCGCGGATCCGAGAAATCCGCCCGGACCTCCGAGTTTTTATGTTTCTGTCCCTTTTTGTTCCCCTATGAAAGGCCTCTCAGATGGGGTCCGAGCTCCGAATGCTCCAAATCGCTTTTTGTCGTCCCCCCGGTCCGGTGTTGTAAGCCGCCTTTTTTGTGACTGGGGGGGTCCGGTCTGTAGGGCGCTTTCTTCGGATTGGAGCTCAAGGGGTCCAGTTTATTCAGGCGCCCTTGTGGGGCCACCAGGCTGTAGGCGCGGGTTCGCAGTTTCCTGTGCCAATTGTAGCTTGTAGTTTCCAGTGTTACAGTTCTGCTTCTTGCTGGTTACTGTAACTAATTGATTGACCGCGCGAGGGGGGGGGAGGCCCAAACGGGACTTTTAGCACCCCCTGGGCGCGTTGTCTGAATTGCTGGGTGGGCTCGAAATCGACACCCCTCACGCAGATCCGCGGGTCAGGGTCCAAAAACACAGGGGATTTGCCACATTTCTGAAATTCGGTGCCACCCCTCACGCAGATCCGCGGGGTCAGGGTCCAAAAACACATGGGATTTGCCACATTTCTGAAATTCGGTGCCACCCCTCACGCAGATCCGCGGGGTCAGGGTCCAAAAACACAGGGGATTTGCCACATTTCTGAAATTCGGTGCCACCCCTCACGCAGATCCGCGGGGTCAGGGTCCAAAAACACAGGGATTTGCCACATTTCTGAAATTCGGTGCCACCCCTCACGCAGATCCGCGGGGTCAGGGTCCAAAAACACATGGGATTTGCCACATTTCTGAAATTCGGTGCCACCCCTCACGCAGATCCGCGGGGTCAGGGTCCAAAAACACATGGGATTTGCCACATTTCTGAAATTCGGTGCCACCCCTCACGCAGATCCGCGGGGTCAGGGTCCAAAAACACATGGGATTTGCCACATTTCTGAAATTCGGTGCCACCCCTCACGCAGATCCGCGGGGTCAGGGTCCAAAAACACAGGGGATTTGCCACATTTCTGAAATTCGGTGCCACCCCTCACGCAGATCCGCGGGGTCAGGGTCCAAAAACACAGGGGATTTGCCACATTTCTGAAATTTGCCACCCCACCCCTCACGCAGATCCGCGGGGTCAGGGTCCAAAAACACAGGGGATTTGCCACATTTCTGAAATTCGGTGCCACCCTTCACGCACATCCATCGCAAGGCGTGGCAACCCAAACTGCGAGAACTCCCTCGGCCCTTTAATCGCAAGGTGTGGTAACCAAGCCCGTAAACCATACACGTCTTACCAATCGCCAGGTGTGGTAACCCCTCTTGTGATCAGTTGGTTTTGCTGATTGCGAATCGGCTTCGCATGAAGTTTCGATACTGCTTCACGACAGCGCCAAGGCCTCATGACTTAGCTCTTCCATGGCCCATTATCCGAGAGAGGGGGCCGGCGGAAGGGGGCGAAACCCTTACGGATTTTGACGCGAGCTCTCACATAGAGCCCAAACTTCACACTAGCTGCGCTGACGAGAGCACAAATGTAGGACAATTAGCTTATCACCTGTCGTCTCCAGGATAGCCGTAGCCCACAAACGAAGAATCGGTTCGCGAGCGTGTCCGCCCTTCGTCAAGGCGTCACTAAACATAGCACGAGTATCCACCCACCAACACTTGCAAAGAGTCCCCGCTTCCAATCTATCTTGCAGGGCACGCAATACATGCACTAGGTGGGGCTCGGCTGGGGCATTGAGCTCCGTAGCGCCAAGAGCAGACAAAAAAAAACACTCTTGTTATCCGTGCGTACATGACGATCTACCGGTAATCGACCAGTGTGCATACATCGTTGAATCTGCTTCGCAGTACGAGGCCCATGAACAATCTCACATATCATCACCTGTGTCAGTAAAGCGTTGCTGATACCATCATCCACACTTGCCAACTCGGCTGAAA